ATACAAGTTCTTTATTGTAGTTTTTTTTATTTGGGTCATATTGAGGCGGTCTCCATGGTGTAGCTGGTTTCTACCTCTCTGAATAGCATTATCTTTATCTTACAGATGAAACTTTGAAAAGTGACATCACTGAAATGAGTACGGATCAATCAGGTATTGTACCCTTGTATGATGTAAATTCCTGTTATATGTTTGACATCACATTTGACAATGTCAATCAGAAAATAGGAGTCAGACACCATGTGAGAGGAAAAGCAAAAAAAGATGCTGAATATGGTACAGAGATTCGCTGCTAAGGACAGGATACCATCAGAAAACAGTTTTGATGAACCAAGTGCAGAGGACATAAGGGATATTCCTCTATATGTGTATGTTCCTAAAGCACAGGAAGAAGATGAGTTGAGGTCAGAATTGTCAGTGATGGTATGTCGTATTATGTGTCGGCACATTAAATGCTTCAAGGCCGTCGTTGTTGATGAAAGTATTCCTCATCGTTACTCCAGAGAATCTGCATGGAAAAGCGACATTGTGGGTTTATCGTAAAAAGAAATTAAACAAAAATATTATTTTCATAATTACGTATCTGTTTTAGCCCACCAACATGGGTTATCCAATCACTCTTCCTCAATATTCTGTCCATCCCTTTGAAAACAATCCTATCGCTATTTCTTAAGTACTGGAATGATATTTCTCAAATTCGTGTAGGTTCCTGTTTGTGCCCATTCAGTTTTGAGTCTGGACGATTTGGCCAACAGCTGGCACTCTTGAATAGTTTCCCCCTTGTTATCAAATGATTAAGAGGAAGAGAGGAAAGAATGGAGAAATAGTTTAATCTGTCATAGGACCAATAAAGGTCATTCAATGGATGGGTAAATGTTCCTCTGGTATCTCTTTGGATTGCAAGATATGATCACATTTTCAATATGCAAATTATTAAGAGAAAAAATAAATATATTTCTGTATTGACAATTTGTACGGAGTTTGCAACGTAAATCTCAATTTTTACTTTTATAACAGATTCCCCTGGGAATCATCAGGAAGGATGAAACAAAAACTCGGAGATGATCGACATCCTTGACACATATGGACAGTATGTTCCTGCAGACCAGAATGGTGATCCTGTGCCAATGCTTCTGTATTGCGATGGTCTTATCTGCGAGCGTGTTGATGGAGCTCAGAGAGCAAGGATAAATGGTGGGGACAAGTGGGAAAAGTTACAAATGTTTGAACCCATTATCCAAGAGTGACACAGAAGATTGATGTATATTGTAACAAAGTTATACCCCGTCTTTATTTCATAGCCGACATAAGCTTCCAGCCCACCAAAATTGTATTTCACAATCCATGTGTAATTTACTTGGGTTCATCGATACCTCCCAGCCACACAGTTGACATTGTATAGGAGCCATTTACCATAGACTGAACACTGTCTGTTAAAAATAGGGATCACTACGTCATGAGTAGGGGGGGACAGAGTAGCCACTCAATAGTGCAGCTACCCCCTCCTTTCATCCGGGACCCAGGCCGATGGAGCCCAATTTGATTGGTCAATTAGTCAATAGGTGTCAATGAGGGTCGTATAAAAAGAGGTGCGCGGCTCCCTATGGCTTGTTGAGATAAGAAATTTCACACGAGATAGATTGGATTATACACATCATTATCTATCATAGATAGCGGCTTGTTAAACGAAGATGACTCAAGCAGGACTATCAGGCAGTTGGGTAAATACATAATATGTCTTACCATTTATTTAGATAAGTGCTTATTACTGTAATATTACCTTATATAAGTGTTTCATAATTTCGGGCGATTTTCCTACCTTGAAGATTGATATCTTACTTCGTATCTTGGGTCTTAACTAACTGTGTATAGTTACTAATTTCCCAACTTTATTAATCAACTAAAATTATTTGTTTAGACCTTATTAACTCCTTATCTCATCCTCAGGCATGGAGGGGGGTGATTTTTAGCTGTAGTGTCAGTGGTCACAGGAGTGACGGCAGCGATCATAAAATCACCACTTAGTCATGCCTGATTACTAGAAAGACAACCTGTAGAGATTCATCCTATAAAAGTGTTAGGCAGAAACCACTTAGAATTACCACCAGATTTGGTTTAACGTGTAAATGTGAAGTGTCAGTCTGGAATAGGGTAATTCTTATAATTTGCGTGGAGAATAAAGAAGTGTCAACAGTGCATCTGGATGTGTTTTGTGTATTCCACTGGATTATCGTGTAACCCTGGAACTGGATACCGTTTATAAAGAACTTGTGTTACTGTGCAGTTATATTGTGTTATATGCGTAAGGGATTTATGTGCTCACTGTGCAGTATATAGTGATAGATTCATAAGGGATTTATGTGCTCACTGTGCAGTATATTGTGCTAGATTCATAAGGGATTTATGTGACTACTTCGCAGTATAGTGAGTTATATGCATAAGGGATTTATGTGACTACTCTGTAGTTATATTGTGTTATATGCATAAGGGATTTATGTGCTCACTGCGCAGTATATTGTGCTTGATTCATAAGGGATTTATGTGACTACTGTGCAGTATATTGTGTTATATGCATAAGGGATTTATGTGCTCACTGCGCAGTATATTGTGCTTGATTCATAAGGGATTTATGTGACTACTGTGCAGTTATATCGTGTCATATGCATAAGGGATTTATGTGATCACTGTGTAGTTACATTGTGTTAGATTCATAAGGGATGTATGTGATTACTGTGCTGTAATAGTATGTTATATTCACAAGGGATTTATGTGATCACTTTGCAGTATATTGTGTTTCAGTCATAAGGCGTCTATGTAATCACTGTGTAGTAGTATTGAGATGTATTCATACAGGATTGACAAGGTTATTGCACAGTGTTAGTTATGAGGGATTTATGAAGTGACTGGATTTATATTGTGTTGCATTCATAAGGAATATATGTGGTGAATGTGCAGTAGTATTGGAAAGTCAGTACAACCAAAGTTTTGACGGTATAATGAGTGTAGTTTAATTAGTTACTAGTGATCAAGTATTTTGTGCTATTGGTGAAGGGATTATTATTATTCTGTTGTTGTTGGAATATTACCCGACCAGGAGATAGGGATTTATCGTCATATTGTGTCATTGTATTGCCTTACCAAATTTCCGCTATTAGTACTCCTAGAGGAATTTTACTTCGAGCTTACTGTCATTCATATTTTGGATAGTCAGCCTATATAGAAAAATTCAATCATATTTCGTTAGCAATGAGAGGAATACGTGTTGTTTTAGTGTTTACACTCGACCAGTGGATTAAATTTCATCGAAGGGAGTAACCAATGGTTATCACCGCCTGGGGTGGCACACGTTCTCTCCCAGGCACTGTCGGGGAGTAGCTGATTAACCGCCAGTTGCGCGCATGCCCAAACAGAGAGGACACATCTCGAGGATCGGTACGTCTTAGCTATTACGGAACCCACCTTTGTGGAGACTACGAACTTGGATATCACCTTTTGGCAATTCCTCCGATTACGGAACCTAGGGATCGGGATCAAGACCAAGACTTCATATTTTATGTAAATAGTCGGCACACGATAAATGTACATATTTGTATTTAATGAATCATGGTTTTCATTTAAGTAAGTTACCGGAATCGCTTACAAATCTGGGCTCGTAACACATTTTTCGAACCTCAAGACCAGTAAGGCCTTGATAAAACTTAGGTGACGGCCTGTCAAATCGAGCCTTTGGCTCATTGCACTAGTCTCATATATTAACACATGTATATTTGAGGCACGGTCAATAGCCAGTTTACACGACAGGTATATTTTAGTTAATTAGTCGTCACGCACATATGGTGGCAGCGGTACTACTTCTCACATTACAGAGTTGCAGACTGTGATTGATCAACAACTAATGACCATCGACGGACAACTGACGTATAACGCAGTCTAGACTTCCGTCAATACCTGAGGTCAAGGGCAGGGCCGTGACCGATAGGGGGGTTACGTCACAATATTCAGGTATAATGGCATTTGCAAAAATATCTAACTGAGACAATTACCTTAAAATTAGAGAATTATTGATTTCAACTGGTAATAGGTTTCCCATGTATTTGGTTGTCTTTTGTACAGTAATTATTATTATTATATATAGGGCCCCATATAGTAAGCACTGTCTGTCTGTCCATACAATGTATATCCTGGCTGATAACTTTAGTATGTTTTCACCAACTGACATGAAATTTGGTCAAGATGTTAAGTTCACAAAAATACATACTTAGGTTAATTATCGAGGTCAAAGGTAAATGTCATGGTCATTATTTTTTTTTTTTTTTACTGGTGAACATTTTGTTATGACACTATAAAGTTGGTGATGAAATCAAACAAGAAGTCAACTGACCCAACTTGCCAAGATCAAGGTCACTTGGTCAAAGGTCATTTGGGTCCAAAGATCAATGACAAAGTTACTTGCGATTCAATCATTGTTTTCGAAGTCCGAACGTCAACATCAGAGATGTGGGCAGATGGCCTCTTGATTATTATAGGGGAATATATTTGCCACACGACGGGGCCCTTGCTGACATGTCAGTGCTCTGTTTTACAATAATTTGATATTGCTACTGTCAGTTAGTAACATCTTGCACTAAATATTGCCCGAGGTGCCAAAGATACATGAATGTTTTACATGGATTAATGTATTTCAGATGCATTTGGGTGATGTTTATTTAAGTCGTCGCAACTGATGAATTTTTAAAGATTATAGAACATTTAATTTCTTTGGTTCCGTGTTATTGACTGATTGTATTGATGAGCTTGGAATTTTCAATTCTTGATTAAAGGAAAAACAAATATTTACTGTATTAAAAAATACATTTTTTTTTTATTAATTACTTTTTTGAAATTACAGTCAATTTAAATTCAATTTTTTCTTTTTGTTCAAACCGGAAAGTCACAGGGAGAAGGGAACACTCTACAACATCAAACAGGTATTTGACCACAAAGGCGTTTCTTCCAACATCATGAAGTGCTTCAACAAAGCTGAGGAAATGCTTGAATTTGCAACACAGGGGTACACTTTGTCAGCCGCACTCCATTTCATGGGTACCTTAAACCTAAGTGAAACACCAACAGAGTGTCCAGTGCATGATAAGGCTTCATATGTCAAGTCAATTGCTGACTTGATAATGGACTTGATATACCAAAAGCCAAATACAAAGGAAATACTGAATGTAAGTCTTGGACAAGAAGACAGTCAGCAGTCATTGGTTTGCATTTGTCACCAAGATTTAGGTGGAATGAAGGTATACTGCTCCAACAACAGATGTGAGAGAGGACAATGGTTTCATTTGGACTGCATAGGACTGGATGAAGCTGATGTGCCAAAGGGGAAATGGTTCTGTTCAGAACTCTGTGAGGAGATGGCCAACATGAAACGTGATCCCAAAAAGGAAATGTTGCTAGCATAAAATGGAGTGTGTTCTGAAAATGTTATGGCGAGGTCTTAACTCTTTCCGTACCGTTGTCGTGTACACACGACAACCATATGTCATCCTGATCCCCGTTGTCGTGTACAGACGACAAAATAAAGGGCCGTCTCATCCCCGTTGTCGTGTACACGAGACGAGACTTTGATGTAATCTGCCTGATGTTTAGTTGGTTATCGCACGAGACTGTCGCGAAAAAACAATTAATTGTCGCTAAAATCAGAACCCATCAGTTTGGAGGAAATAATTTTATTTGTGCAGAGTATACTTTTTTATTATGTGACTTAATGTTTTCGCATTTGCCGCAAGATGTTTGCCTTTGGTGCCTCAAATGTAAACAAGATGGCGGCAACTTAATTTGATACGAACACTCGTAAATTCATCATCAGATATTTGTTGAGACTTATGGAAATAAATTTGAATATTCTAAATAAGTTTTGATGAAATCTACTTGTAATTAGAAAAAAAACTCAACGACTCCATATTCGTGACCATGATCAATCCCCATTGTAAACCTGCACTACAACGCTGTGTTAAGTACAAGGAATCGTATCGTTTATTGCCAGACAAGTGTCGATTTCGCAGCAATAATCAGCCGCCAGCTAGTCATTATGCTGCGAAAATGAAGAAGTGTTTGTCTATAAACCAGAACATGAAACAATAACAATACTTGTTCACGGTTACCTGTTTAATTCTTGTGGCAGTTACACCGAGTCTAAAAAGTACATTAATAATCCGCCATTTTGTTATATGCGCGGGGGCGAGTCTACTAAGTACATCCGGTACGGAATCCGGACCGGAGTTGCGGTACGGAAAGAGTTAACGACATTGCAAGACATGACACTGTCAAATAAAATGATGGGATACGTATGATTCCACACTGGAAATTTGATTTGCTGGAATTTTTTGAAACAAACCACCCGAAATAATTCATATATGATCACAAATTAATAACAAGTGTATCTGGCGGTGTCTCTTAACAACTGCAGCACAAATTTATCTGGAACCGAACGGTAAGTGTCAATGGTAGGAAAAGAAAGAACATCCCAAAGGATATATTTAACGAGTTCTTGAACAAGGACTACAAGGAGAACAGCCGCGATGCTGGTGGTCAACTGACAGATAATACCATAGCTCGGCACAGCCAGATGCAGGGAGTCGGGAAAGCCCTTGAGAAAATCTTCCATGGAGAGGTGGCTTTAAAATCTACCTGGCTCACACGAAAACACAGCACACTTAAAAGATCTAGTGACATACAAAAACTGGTTGAAATGCTGAAGCCATTAAAACTATTTGATACTGTGCCAGGTCGTGCATTTAAGGGCATTGAAAACCTTAAGTCTTATAGGGGTTCCAGTTTACCAAAAAAAATCAAAGAAAGGGTGATCAGACTAAAAGAAAGAATTGCAGTCAAAAAAAGAACTTCAGGATGTGTTATAATTGTATTTGCCACACCAAGACTAGAATGATGATAATGGTTGAAAAAGTGTTTTCTCACATTCCATCTGTGCCCTGAGCCTTTAGCATCTGTCATTCATATGAGACATTCAGTTTATTTGATATACGTAAATGGACATACCACAATTACGTTACTGTAACTTTCATTTTATTATCGGTAGCCCTAGGCTTGTTTTAGGGAAGAATAATCTGAAGTGAGGTGTTACATTATGAGGTCTCGGTATTTGGGAAATGGTGTATCTTAACATCCTGATTGCATGTGTAGCTTTAGGTGTAATATTTTTAAGAAATCAAAGGAAAGCCAAGATATTTTGACATGCATATTTATTTTTTTAGACATTTTTGAATTGTTACTCAAGTCTTAATGGAGCACGTACAATCCAGTTTATTCTCATACATATGCAAATAAGTGTTATGAAAGATTTACTTTTGAACTAAAACAGGTAAATACAAAAGCTTATATATCATTGTCATTGTGGTGTATAATCTTTGTTGCATGACACTTACAACTATTATGTAATTATACAGAGTATATGTCCAAACATTGATTTATCCTTACACATTGAATGAATGAAATCTCCAATTCATCATTGGAAAGCCTCAAATATTCAAGTAGTATTCGATGACATCATTGATGGATTTCAGTTTCTTTGGGCTTGCACATTTTCTGGACACCTTATACAGCACTTGCATTTTGTACATCGACACACTGATGTGCATTTCTTTGGACATTCACCCTTTGATTCTAAATTGTCCGTCTTTGAATTTCCTTCAGTATAGAAATATTCCAGATATTGAAGTCGATAAAACGTCAGAATAATTCGTAAGTACTTATGAGCAAACTTGAACAAACATGGTCTTCATATGTTTGCCATTTGCATTCAGTGTACTGAAATGATAATACATAGAGAATCAAATACTCAGGTACTGCATTAGTAGTTTTAAGGATAGTTAGTATTTGAAAAATCTTAGTACATCCCATTGTTTATCCAATGTAATTGCCTGTTTGTACATATCTTTATTTTGATGTGTCAATATTATCTAAGTTATGACTAAAAAGATTGCCAAATATCACATACGCTCTGAGGCTAAAGTATATGGATTCAAGTCAATAATGAATTATCCCCCTTGCCTCTGAATGAGTTTGATAATTACTATATATGAGTTATTCTAGTCCGGTATGGCTGAGCCAGGGCATGTCCTGTCCTGTAGACAGCTGTTTACAGGGAGTGGTCTTTACCACATGCGCTACCCTTGCCTGGCACTGGAGGAGTGTGCATCAACAAACGACAATGGTGGTCCAGTGTGGGCGTGTGTCGTTTGAAACCGCCAAGGCACTAATCAATACACCCGGCCTCAATTCATCGTTTAACTCCACCCCAGATAGCAGAAAAAATGATAACAATAAGGGAAGGGTCAATAGTGGGGCGGCTTAATACCGAAATTTGACAAAATCATGCAAATGGTGATACAAGCATAGAATTTGGTACATACGTTATTTAGGGTGTACTTTAGCATATTAGAGGATTAGCCAACATACATTCGATTTTTTTTTCACGGCGGCCATCGTGAATTTAAAATTGACATCATTTCACTCAATAGTGGAGATTGAAAACTGATCCAAACCTTTTTTAACGTGATATAGGTGATGAAAACTATTTAAAATAAAACAAAAGAACCTGAAAATATGTTAAACAGACAGGAATTGTAAAAATAAATCACCAATTCCGGTTAGGGTGGTACAAATTCACACAATCGAGTAAAATAATGGAGGTAAGGATATGCGATAAAAATGTCCGTTTGGTATATAGGCAATTATAGGTAAAAAGATGCAGGAAGGTCGAATGATGTATTATTATAACATATGTGCCGATGTATTTCGTTCTAACAGCTACAGAAACACAATGTTGTACAGGTCAAACTAGCTTTGTAACACTTGCGTCTACCAGAACCAGTTTTCTTGCATTCACATTTGTGTAATTACTGGCAAGATAATGCAATGGCTGCTAATTGTGTCCAATTGGGAATCCACAACTCCTCTGCTGTCTTCTAAACCAATCTCTAATCCACCGGACAATGTAGATGTTGTTTATGTGTGACTGCCTGTCCCCATACATGCCACCTTGCTATGCAGCACGTTTGGTGTGCTCAAGCAGTGCAGCTCTGGTGGGCGGAATTGTGTCATACTGTCTTTGTTTGCGTGCAAACAATTCAAGCCTTGATTCATTGATGTCAAATGTTGTTGTAGTTCTGTCGTACATAACTACAACTCAAGGTCAGCTTTACTGACCAATGCAGGCTTCTTACTCAATCGCCCTAACACCTCGGTTACGTCATCAAGTATTTGCCACGTCTGCCATACCGACGTTTTTCCCTTTCCATGAAAAGCGGGGACACTGTCAAATCCGGTGAAAGCATGAACAATGGCAAAGTCACTGATTTAGGACTTAGAGCATGATCAATTTCGTGAATCGGAAGCCATCGCAGGTTTGTTACTTTTCCAAATGCATTGGATGCAAAAGTTTTTGGGCATGGGTTGTGGTCCATGTTGTCGACCGCAGCTGTGGTAAACACTGTGCCCTTTAATAAAGGAGGAGAAAACAAACCTTCATTCAAGTAACGTTCAACTACAGCTTCACCTAGTTGAGTTGATATTTCCAGTACCCGCTTATAAGAGATGCATATCCCATGTTGAAATAATGTACTTATAAGCTGTCTCTACCTGGTTTTTGCAAAGAGTAATAGTCAAAGATACACACAAAAGGGTGTATAACGATCAGCTGAATGTCTGTGTTGTACAGGAACTTTCTGGTTGTTAATATCAACATTAATAGTTGGGCCAGAGCTAAGTCGGACTTTGTAAAAACGTTGTATAAATGTGATTTAATATCAGGTCCAGGCTCTATCATTTTTACCAACTGTAACAAAGGAAGTGGCAAAGAAAACGCGATATCTGGTCATATATCTTTTTCAAATATCAAAAGGACATCTCTGCCTTTTGTGTGTGCTCCTAGTTCTGGCATCTTCTGCAAAAGCTTGTCCTCCAGACGCTTAGAATGTACCTGTGCCGAAGAAAATCCAAGTTATGTCAATTGTTCTTTGTATAGGTTTGCCAGGTCTGCTAATCGAAACATCACTGACTCTTCAGAGTTTTTTTTGAGTTTTAAAGATGTATGTCACCAGCTCAGCTAATGCCGTTTCCTTCATCATATTTTCCTCCTGAATACAACTGCTTTCGGCCTCTGTTTGTCTTTTCTTTGCTCTCTCTCTCTCTCTCTCTGTTGTATACAGCTGGGAGACAAGAAGGGTGATACCTTCTTTCTTGTGCTATGACATCACCACTACTTAATTTTGCCAACAGCTGTTTATCCTGTAGCACTATTGCACAATCCACTTATCGTTTATTCAGTTTCAATGTCATTGCCTCCTTTAAAGCGGATAAAGGCAATTCCTTATCACAAATGAAACATTTATGCACATTTACAACGGAACCTGGTTGTTGGTTTTTAGAACGAGGAGTACTT